AAGACTAATACTAGTTCCATTTGAAACTAAAAACAAACGAGTCAATTGTGCGATTTCAATTAACAAATAAAAGAATAACATTGTAATCATATCGTTGGTTTCTCCCTCTTCATTGCCCCCGTCCCGCCTCACCGATCATTTCACACTCCCCTCGTATTGACCACGTCATTTCCACCCTCACCCTCATAATCAAAATCATCGGTTAAGGTCTCAAGATTGCGAGGATGGAGGATTCTTTCCACATCCTCTCCCTTCCCACCATCCGCAACGGCCCCTCCCTATGGTGTCAGATGTACTTGTGCATCACCTTTGCCTGTGCATAACTCCGGTTGCAACTGACTGCCCGGCACGCTCAGGCCAACACATGACTCTGACTGCATTTCGGATGTGCCTTCTAATGCGGCGGATGTCAGTAATAAACTCCCGTACGTGGCACCTGCATCTGACGACAATGCATTTGACACATCCATGCGTTTGGACGGTTCTGTCGTGTTGACGGAGATTTGCGGCATAGACGTCATGTGAACCTCTTGAGTCTTCACCACATTACTCCCGTCATCCTCCCTCTGCCCTGCCTGCGTGGGTACGGGGGGCGATGCCGACAAAGGCACGGCATCCTGAGAGCTGCTCTCCTCCATCGTTCCGATAGTTTGATTGACCTTCCAGTCGATTGACCCACATGAGGGACTCGTTCGCAGGGCGTAAAATTTCCAACTGTACTCTAACTGCTGATTGTCTCGCAATACAGAAAACAATTCTTTGGCCTTGTCTTTGACAGCGGTCTCGCTCTTCCCCGGATTCTCCTTTTGCACGCGGTACATAATCGCGAGTTCCGTCGTTTTTAGCCAAGTGTCCTTTGACATCCGGTGAAACGTCTGCCATCCGCGTGTGTATTTGACCGCCATCTTCCACTCCCCATCTTGGATGCAGGGCTCAAAAATGCCCTCATGCCACACGATGTCATGGCCCCACTTGTCCTCACCAGTGCGGGCGTGTTTTCCCCCCAAGAAATAAATTGTGGTCGGATCAGCACAATAGCCGGGAGGAATTGGATCGCCTGGTGCGCACATATTCCCATGTTTGGCAAATCGGTACCCTCCATGGGGGCCACCATCGAGCCAACACTGGGGGCGGCCACCTGTACGGGTCTTTCATGCGAGCGAAAGGTCCCTTCATCGTGTGACCGCACCATGCCACCGCCCGGACCTTCACCACCCTTGCCATCGCCCAATTCGAGGTCGGACCCCGAAGAGTCTTCCTCGCTGTCGACGGGGTTAAAGCCGTCACCCGATTTCGCGAGGTCAGCGTAGTCCTTGGACATCAGCTCGTCTTTATGAAGATCGAACTTCAGGATCTCGCATCGAGCGACAAAAGTCTCAAAGGCACCAGTAAGAGCACCGTGATAATGTTTCAGGGTCTCTGTCACCTTTGCTTTCCTGTAGATGTAATTCCCGTCAAGCCGTCCTTGCGGCGCATCGCGGAACAGGTATTCCCACACCTTCAGTCTCTTGCGTCCCAACTTGTGGAACATGTCCCTGTTGCTACGATGTTTGCAACGTGGCTTCTCGACATGACAGGCGAATCTCTCATCCTTCACAAGTATATCAACGAACTTTGTCAGATATGCAATGTCCTTGGCCGACTCGTCGCAGACAAGGACATTATTACCTGCCAGTAATAACTCCCACACAAGACCTGCGTGTGCTCTACCCAACAAAAGCACACCTTCCTCCTCTCCGACAAATGACCCGCACAATGAATGTAACTTTCCAGGCTCTCGCTCCCAGATGGAATACACCGCACTATCATCGCCCTCTATCCCACCGTGTTTACCTTGACACTTCCTGAACTTCTCCTCCACAACGTGCACGGTTGTGAGGTCGTTGTGGAGTTGCGGTTTGACAGTTACTTTTTTCAGATCCCCTCCGTCGGCGTGCAGGACAATGACCATCATATCTCGACTCGTCGTAGCCATATTGTCGTATCGTGTGATGTCGTTCGGTGGCCTGTCCACCCGTTTCCAGGTCCTGGGGATGACTTCGACGTCCTCCCAGCGGAACAAGTGACGCAGAACATCGCTTTGCACCTTCTGCGGCGCAAAGAAGAAAAGGACCCAATTCTGGCCACAACACTTGGTCATCAATGTGTGCAAGGCATCAAATTCGTGAGAGGTCCACGCTGTGCTGAAGTTCGAGGATGGGATGTCCACGATGGCGGCCCTGCATGTCATTTTTTGCGCTGCAGCGACGATGTCGTCTGGCGCTGCCAACACTTCCTTCGATGGCATGCACACAGGTAGCAACTTCGTTTGTTTGCCAATCTTGTCCCACACAATATGACGCGCGCTGGAGGCGATCCGTTTCACCTCGGCGCGAAGCAAATCGAGCTTATCGATTGCAGTGTATATGACGACCTTAAGGTGAAACGGAGCCTCCTTATACATTGCCGCCGTAGGCCCCAAGCCCGCGCCTTGCCTTGCCTCCTCCGCTCCTACAAGTCGTCAAGGGACCATCTTCACCTTATTGACATGTAACTTGTCCCGTTCCTTCTCCCATTCAGCAGCGCACAGACCGTTTGGCCCATACCTGTCTTCAAGGTCCTTGTACGACATGAAGAACGCGTCGTTCCATTCGTCGTCCGCCCTTCCCTCGGCGCGGAACAGAACATAATTGAACATAAGCACCATGTACCGCTCCTTTCGCATGATGTCGAGGAGGCACTCTGTGTTCACTCTTGGAGGCAAGACCTTGACGTTCGTTGCGACCACCTTCCCTTTCATGAGCAGGAGCAACGCAACTTCCCTCTCACGACAAGTCAAATCCCCAAAATTTTTGAAGTAGGAAGGACAAAGATCCTTCCACGACACGGTGGAGCCTTTGGGACCATCTATTGCATATATGCAATGGTACAATGTTCTTTGTCCCTTGGTTTCGTCGGTGTACGGGTCTGGCAGGCGGCCTTCCATTCTCCCGGGCATGTCAAGCGGGATTTTGCCATTGCCAACTGGCAGCTTTCCTTCGTTGAACATCTTGAAGAACCTCTAAACCAGCGGCCACACTGCAACACTGGATGTGGCGAGGTTCATGTAGCCCCGGAGTTTATTACTCCAATCCTTACTGTACTCATTCTCGAGAGCTTGCTTTACAAACGCCTTGTCGCATGCCTTCCCCATGCAGGCCCTCAAGAAGTTCTGCCACGTCTTCCGATGTGCAACGGCCACCTCAACCTTCTCGCTGACCTTGGCTTTCGGGGCCTCGATTCTATTGTTGTCTATCCACCATTGCCTGATGTCACGGACAACGTCCTCGAATGACAACATCATGGAGCGATTTTCGCGTGTGTTGTCGAAGCAGGAGACATTGAAATACCCTCGTGTTTGATCATCTCCGAAATAGACGACCCGCACCTTAGAGTACGCGTTGAGGTCATAAACTTTAACTGCCAGGGAGCCCTTTCTGACCAATCTCTTCATAGCCTCAATGGGATGCTCACCACAGACAGCGTACCAGTCGAACTCTGCCGGGTCCCTTTCCAAGAATTCGGTCGGCGTGATCCGTCTTCCCTGGCCGCCGACAATGTCATTGCGGTCAACTGGCGCAAGCACGAGCTCGGGCCTATCCCACGCCCCCGGGTCCGTGCTGATGGAGCTTCGGATGGCATTTTCGATGCGTCGCACAATGTTTTCAGACAACGAGCGGTGGTTGAAAAGAATCCTTCCGCGGGGAATGTGTTTGATTCTCATGACGTTCACGTGAAGAGCATGAACGTCTTGCGTAGCAAAGTCTTGGTCGTCGTATTCGAGGAAGAAACAACGCGTAGTGTCGATTGGCGCGACGCGCTGAACCGGCTCATCAGCATCTTCGGGCATGCGAGGATCCACTCCCTCGCCCTCATCCCCCGAGTCCCGCAGCTCTTGTGGTCTCACCCTCTGGGAGCCTTTCCGCGCCCCTCCACGGCCACCGCCCCCACGGCCACCGCCTTGACCCCCAGATCGCCCCCCTTGACTGTTCTTCCGAGGAGGCCGCGCCTCCTGGGACGCTGTCAAAGCTCCACGAGCCTCATTAACAGCGTCAGTCCTGGCTTGCCTCTTGTGAGTAGAAGCAGACGGAGAAGTCTCCCTTGTTCTTTTCCTCGCCTTCGGTCCTTGCATTGCATGTGAGTCGTGCCCACCCTTACTCCTGCTGTGCGATAGCGAAATTCCAGGGGACGTCGAGGGCTGACCAATAGCGGCTCCCACAGCGTCGGCGGGGGGGGTGTCATGACCATGCATTGGCGTGTCGGCGTCCTCGTCAGCAACCCCGCCCTGGTCCTCCATGTTGTCATCCCCAACTTCCACATCTGCTTCATTACCGTCGTGGTCATGCAGCCCAGCACTTCCTCCTTCCTCGTCCTCGTCGTTGTCCTCGTCCAGGGCAATTGCACTGCCCTGGGAATTCTCACGGCCAACATTGCGCTGGTGCAGAAGCCTGTCATCAAACTCCGTTGCCTCGCTTGAACCTTGAGCCAAATCACGACCTCCCCTCACGGAGGGCGAGGGAAGATTCGCGCCCGACGGCCCACCCGGCAACTGCTTTGTCTTCCCTTTCGTCGTGGACGGCGTTTGTCGCCTGCTCTTGGAACCCGCCTCGAAGGGCAAAAAAACACAGTCCGTTTGCTGATCAGGCGGCAGCTTCGAGAAGTCTTCCCTGTACCGCTTAACCACACCTGGCAGCAGGTCCATCGGACTGTTGAATTGGACCAAAGGTTTGCTCATCCGGAAAGAATTGTCGACAACAGGAAGGCAACCAGTGACGCGGTTGACATTTGTTTTGCTGAGAAATTCTTCCGGAGAAAGCATTCGGAATTCAGTTCCGTCCCCACGCACGTCAAACGCTTTCATGGAGAAAGCCTTGACGCCGTATCCTTGGAAGAGACGCAGGTCAAGGGAGACCTTCTTGTCTTCCTTGACCCAGTCCGTCCCAGCGCTTTCGAAGACGGACGTGAGGAAGAAGGTCCTGAACGTCCTCCCTTCGTAGGTCTTCCTGCCCGCCTCGGACCCCTACAACAGTACCAAGTGGCGCCATTGTCATCGCTCAAGAAGATAACAGCCCCACACCCCGGTTTATGCAAACCGCCTACCCAGTCAAGAGCCCACGGTTTGTTGTTGTAAGTCTTAGACCTGCCATACCGTTTATTTTGAGCAGAGGTCGGCGCACCAGATTTACCTGCCGGTGGCAAATGCAAAACAAAGACGGGCAGGAGAACAGCAATGAGCACCACACAGAAACACTTGCACGTGGTCCGAGACATTCAAGAAGGCACGTGACCCTCCATACGCCCGCCATCTTTTCGGGAACGCTGCATACCAGACAACCATGCATGGTCGAGGGGTCCGGCGTTCCCAATCCGCCAGACCGTCGCCATCCTTTCGAGGCAGGACGTCGAGGGTTTCCATTCCGATGCCCCCCCCTTCCCCACCCAGGAAGGATGGCGGGGGCAGGGCGTTTCGGGAACGCCCGACCCCCGACCGAGCACGGGTGTCGGAGGTCCGGCGTTTCCAATCCGCCGGACCCCCGTACGGAAAGGGTGGAGGGGGCAGGGCGGTTTGGGAACGCCGGACCCCCGACCGTGCACGGGTGTCGGAGGTCCGG